CAGAGGCCACGCCTCCAGGAAAAATCGCTTCTCTATAGCCGCAAGTCCAGACCTTCGTACGAAGCAAAATGAAGGACAAGGGTCTGGTTTTTACCAGGCTAGCAGAAAACCACACATGACAAGTCATGTATGACACCGTCTTTCTTTAGGAGGCATCTGATAGTCAAGCWATTAAAATGTTTAATCAGCCTGAAGGAATTTGTTTGGGTTTGTTTTTTCCACTGATTTTAAAGACACTTCACATAGTATAGTTTTTTTCTYAGGTGAACAGTATTGTCTTTGTATAATGTGGTTATTTCTTCTTGAACTAATGATTTTATGGACAGACTGGGTTCTGGGGGGCTCTTGATGAGGGTTTGACAGACTCAGGAGGTTTTTAGTTAGATACATGCCTGAACACATATTCAACACTTAATTGAACCGTTGATTTTCATTAGTATGAGGGCCTGACTTTCAGCTGTAGGCTGGCCCGTATGATGATGCAATAAATAGGCAGAGTCGAGCCTTTAAGACGATGTTATAGTGATTTGACTTCCTGGAAAAAGGGGTTCTGAATGCAGACAGAGAATAAATTGCCTTCAGAACGAGCGCTCTGTGTGGTTGTATAACTCTTTTCACTTTCTAACATTCAACTGGTTATGAACACATATTAAGGTAAACGAACACGCCTAAATTATTTACTATCTTTCAAGCCTACCCTGGATTATTGTCCATATGTCTGCTTTAAAACATGTGGATTTTGTTACATTTATTAATAAAAATAGTTATTTTGCCTCCTTCAGTTTGGTTAGTGTTGTCACTTTGCTTTGCTACAGGAGATTAGATGTTTGTGAGGTGCACTTATTGTCTCTTTGTTTATCAGTTTAAAAAAATAAGTATGCTATTAAAAATGTAATAAACAATTATGCTGAAAATACAAATTCCTGGTTTTCATTTAGGCCAAGTAGATTTTTGAGTTTTTCTGCGTTTCTTGCTTTAACACAATGTTCCAATGTCAGAGTCAGCTGAAATCAGTTCCTGCAGCAATGATGACTCAACAGACCCAGCTGGGATGTCCAGGAAGGGGCAGGATGATGCAGGAAGCATCAGGCTGTTCAGTGTGTCTCACAAAAGGATGAGATGGTGCCTACAGTTGAAAAAAGGGGGTTCTGGATTCATGGCTTTAAAAGCACATCGAGTCCGAGAGAGAAGAACGTTTATTTTTTCTGATTAATTACAGTCGTTTGCATTCATGAGTATCCGCTGCACTTCATGTTTGAGTGACAGTAAATGTGAAGCAACACTCGTGTTTGCTACAGCAGGCAGAGTAAATATAGGTGCATACATTTGAGGCGAGGGACCGATGGGTATCAGATGTAGACAAATGCCAGCGCTGAGAGGAGGGGGTGGCTGCCTCTATAGTGAAGTGCTGTTATCATGGGGGCATGACATATCTGTAAAAATGTTCAGCTGGGCGCCACACAAATGATGGATTGCAGTTTCTGTTGAAATAAGATGAGTCGTCTCATTATCTTTAACAATCAGTCATCTTTCTGTTCTGGCAGATCAGTTTATTAGAAATCCTAAGAAATATATTGTGGACTTCCTGGAATCCATTAGATCCTCTATAAAAGACCTTGGGTCAGTGTTATGAAGATTGTTATTGATTTATGGAGCTTTATTATCTCCACTATGTTTGAATTTGTTAGCCATCAGTTTTTTTATGTGATATTGATTGTTGCATCTTTTGGTTGTGATTGAGAGCCTGTGTGAGTGACTGTTGACTTTATACAGTAAAGAGTCTGTACCGTTATCACCAAATAATGCTTATGTTATTAAAAGTGTAGTTTATTAGAGATTGCTTGAATTGAGGTTTTTGTAAAATCAAGTTGTTTTTCCTTAATTTCAGAATATGACGGCCAGTTAGCCCCAGCAGGACCATCTGAGTCAGGCATGGCATCGTCTTCCTATCTGGAGCCCAGCCTCAATCACTCAGCATCGGGCGGTTGCGGGGTTAAATCCCGACCAGGGTTGCCTTGTGGTCCCGGCACAAGTGGTTCTGCAGGAGGTCTGGAGCGGGCTCCAGCATCCATGGATCGAGTTCTTAAGATCTTCCATTACTTTGAGACAAACAGTGAACCGAGCACCTGGGCGAGTAATATCAGACAYGGAGATGCTACAGATGTCCGGGTATGATGGGAGCACATTCTTACCTTTCAAATCCTCAGCATCTTTTATTTTTTAGCATTATTTAAATTGTTTTATTCAAATGTTTTACCAGGGTGTTATCCAGAAGATAGCAGAAATCCACAAATTACGCTGCGTGTCGTCTTTGGGGCTCCGTCTGACCCATTTGCACTCCGATGCTCTCCAYTGGTTACATCCTGACCTGGGCGTGTCTCATGTGAGAGAGCGATATGAGAAACAGCACCCCCAAGAAGAGTGGAGGTAAAAATTTAAGACTGTCATTTTATCAGACATTTAAACTAAACAGTAAGATCAGGTCTAGATGTTGACATCTGTGAAAGATAATATAAATTTATATTTGGTTGCTAGTCTAAGTCACAATGTGTTTTTT